TTTAATCTTGATAATCTCTAATATAAATTATATCAATCCAAAAGCATCCACTATGAAAGCAAATGTAACTCATAATAATTGCAAATGTATGAATTACTAAAACAAACAACAATCTATCCTCATAGCTTGAAAACTGAAACATTCAACAAATTTAAAGTCTATTTACGTTTGTTGCTGTTAAAAGCAATGCACAACTTAGAATATTTTATTTGCCATTGTTTTCGTAACATTTTCCAATTTTTATTCGGTGTTGTATTTTTAAATCACGCGATCAAGAAGTTTAATGCAGAAATAAGTAATTAACCTCGCGAACGAATCCGACCGTTAAAAAGTTTGAAGACGGAGATAAAGTTCTGGCATAAAAACACGATAAAGCGAAGCATAAAAGCTCTGAAGAGCATAATTACAGAAATAAAGAAAAAGATACATTCATTTTAGAATCCACCGATGGCTTCCGTAGAGAAGATGATAAGAATGGGCACTTCTGTAAATAATTAAACGACTAAGTGGTTTGTAAATTGAATCTCGCCTCGTTGAAATAAACAAAGGAATACTTGATCGCCGCCATAAATCTTAAATACCAATTATTGAATTTCAAATTGTTATCATGCAGCTTAAAAAGTAGGAAACCATCAGGGACCTCATTTTGTCGAATTTGTACTAGCAAGAATCAACCACCTATGTACTCGCGATTCTAAAATCATGCACTCGTTATATGCACTTTTTTCCTCTGATTGAATGCTATGGTCATTGTGTATCGATGGTAGCATCAAAAGGATAGAATAACGTACATACGAAGAACATACTGAATGTTCGAAAACAATGCATCGTATACCTTCTTTACAAATAATTTCTGAAATCATTAGTGCTGTGTCCCCTTAATATCGCATTTTGCAACGACCCGGCTCCTCGGTGTAAAAGTTCAAATTAAATATGAGCCTCCGAGTAAAATCCTGCCTACCTCCGAGCAGCGATACCGCAACAGTGTATCGGGCTAATGTAAACGGAACTCTCTATCCGCGGAGCGACAACGCTTGTAAATCAGTGGGTCCCGTAGCCAGGGCAAGGGGGGTCGCAATTTTTCCACGGTTCGTCGAATTCGCGCCGAACGTCCCCGAGGCGAACGTTATCCTTCCAGCCGAACGCGCCGCGTGCTTCAAAGAGGACGGTGAGACAGCACGTGGTGGGTACTCGCGGATCACCGAAGTAACGGTGTCCGCTAACCGCGTCAGAGCCGCTGCTAGCGGTACTCGAAAGTGTTCCGTTACTCGACCGACAGATCCGCTAACGCGACTTGCTCTCTTCCCTCTCTTCCCTCTCTTCCTTTCTTTCACTCCCTCTCTATCTCCGTCGTGCTCTCTATCAATCCATCTCCCTCCCTCTTATCACTCTATCTCTGTCTCCCTTTCACCGCTTCTCTTCATCTCTTCTTCGCTTCTTCTCTTCATCTCTTCTTCTCTTCTTCTCTCGGCGGCGCATTCCCTGCACCTTTCTCTCTGTCGTGGGATGAGAAGCGCGCACGAAAAGCGTCAGCGAATCGAGTCGCTCCGTCTCGCCGTAGAGATCCGCCGAGAATAAGTAATGGTCCTTCATTACGGGATGCGACTGACCCGGCGCATTCGACTGAGAAGAGCCGACCTCGACCGTCTCCGTGCTCCGACGCTAACTCAACTTTGATTTACGTGCCACCGACGTCGAGGGGCCGCGATCGTGCACGGACCAGCGGATCGTTCGCGTACCGATCGCTCTTCTCGGCCGTTTACGGGCCCCGTTGAGACGGCGGGACGAGGCCCGATCCGAGAGCAGGCCTTTTGACCGAGGCGATCGATCGTGGATCACGATGGAACTGATACCGCATTGTTGTCGGTACGGCATGATTAAGTATCGATGAGATTTTATGATTATGGAATTTGTAAATATTTTCGTAGGTAGTTTAGGTATTGACTTCAACAATGGGGCCCTTTTAAGGCCCACTTTTTAGAGAGAAACTAGTTCTCACGTTTTTGGTTAAATAGCCATGGGAAATTACAAGGCTAGTGTGTTCTTCACCTTCTTATATGATTTGAATCATGTGAGAATGTTCTACGTATAAAGGTATTGTCAATTATATTTGACTTTTGACAAAAGGTACACTATAGGCCCATTTGGCAGAGGCCATCTTCGACTCCTATATTTACCTAAATAGAGCCTATTCTGACTCTTTCTTTCCCCTTATCTGTTTCAACCGAAGATGATTCTTAAGTATACATCTTGAAAACATTATCAACAATAAATAATATTCTGTAAACAAATATTCATCGCTACTACTATAAATGTAGCGAACATGAGACCCTAAATCTAATCAATATGAAAAGTAAACACATTTATACCTCTCTCTACGATGAACCTTTCTTCTTACACCGCTTACTGCATACCAATTAAATTTTATATCGATTACGTAAATCACTCCCAATCATTTTATCGTCTGAAATTGGATTTGAACAAAGTAATTAATTTCAATCTTGATCATGTAAGTAAACGTACTACGTGAAATTTCAATCGGTGGCGAAAATTGCTACCAAAGAGCTATGAATGCTCCTTATTAAATCATGGCGTGAATATTAATTGTACGCGATAGTATCGATCTCGTCGTTAATCATGTGTACCAGAGACCGTTCGTCGAACGTTTTGGCGCCCAACCGTGTCGATCGATATGGTAATAATGGATTCTGAACGTTCCTGATTCCGCGAGGAGTGGCTTCGTTGCGTGAGCAGCATCGGTTATGCGTGTCAAAGACCGACTCAGCTTTTGGTTCATTGTCAGATAACGTAGAACTGTTTGCGTTATGCTAATACCGATATGAACCGTTTCTCTGTCAAAGTGATGTAAATGGAAATTATTCGACTGAATATCTAAATCCAAGAACATATCTATGTAAAGTAAATTTAACGAGCGTAATAGTAGAAAACATACAGAAAATATTAAATGTACTAAATGAATTCACTGTGCACTGAAATATTCCTAAAGAAGATCTAAAAATAAAGAAACAAGATTCTCTGAAATTCACAATAATACCCTTCTTTGGACTATTCTACAGATTCCAATGCAAGACAATAAAAAATCCTCTTACTCGCGGTAAATATTCCCTGTAAATCGTTTGAAAATAAATAGTTTCGACTGAATTCTGATACAGTGACACACTCTGGTCGACATAAAAATAGAATTAAAATCCTTGTAGTTTATTGGAAAATAGTACCTCTGCTCCAGTAGTCTGCATTTTGCCTAAAAAAGTTTTTCTTCCAGCGCGGGACAATCGTTTCATACGTCACAGCCCCAAAATTAGAAATTCACCTATCGACCCGCCGCGAACGTGTAACGTTCGAAACAATATAAAATGTTCAAACAGTGTTTCTGCGAACAAATTTTAGGCATGGAAGGAGGCCGGAGTGGCTGCTCCAAATCCAACGGAATCTCTTCGTCAAAATCAATTACCTCGCGAGCAATCAACCGGGCTGGAATTAATTTCGTTAATTAAAAGGTGACGCGGTATACCGAGGCAACCCCCGGGCACACAAAACGCGCCCGACATTGATCCGTTTTAGCGCGGGATGCGCGATGTAACACCCATTCTCATTACACCAGCTGGTTTTACGATTTGGAGCAGAAAGACGAACTTCAGCTAGAGAAAACTTTTATTTTGACTCATGTTGCAGGAAAATATTGCAGAGATGCCACAATGTTACAATTACATTCGAATTACAGCAATATGTCCGTGCAATATTGCATTGAAAATATTTTAAAAATATTTCAGAAATATTACAAAGCAAGAGCGACATTGTATATAAATAAATCATTTTCAAACTTCACGTATCGTTGGTGTCTCACGTATATGCGACGGTAAATGTGCATATAATGTACCTTATCAATCATTCAATTTCATATATTTATAGAATATTTTGGAATTCTTCTTTGAACGTTTCCATACCGTCTCGCAAATATTGTCTGAGAAATGATGTGGAAACGTTGCTACAGTGGTTGACAGAGACACATTGCAGCGAGATCTCATAAATATTTCATCAAATATATCGAATTTTGCACAAAAATATTCCTGCAATGTCTTGTGTTGCAGGGGTATTCAAAATATGCCCTACCAGAGACAGGTGCATTTACAACAAGGAAGACAAACACATTCTGCCATACTCCCATTCACAGAAAACACATAAATCCACATGGATGTATATTAAAATGACTTCACTTCAAAATGACTGCAGAGAGACTTCTACTCTTGTTCCGAATTCTATTAGTGATGAAAATTATATTCTGCTCATGTATGTGTACTCATTTTCTTTATGATGTTAACAAATATTAAATATTGCTTACGAGATATCTGTCATATTTTTTCGTCATTTTTGCAAGCTCAGAACACTATTCTTTCAGTCTAGGAATTATTTTAATTTGATTAACTTATATCTTTAAGGAAATCGGAAAAATTTAATGACAGTTATACTAGCCCTCAGGTACTGTAGCATGAGTGTACTCAGCTAAAGTAAAGTAATGATAAGAAGAATAGCAATATTATTTAAGAAGAACTTTTAGAGTAATAACTATTGTATATGGTTACACACTTTAATAAATAACGGAACGGACAGCTATACCATCCTAAGCACATGCCTTAATATAGACAAGTGAAGTACCATTAGAAAGGTCTGAACACGTAATTGTATCTCCTCAACTCACAGGAAAGGTAACCAATCAGACCCATGAATTAAAGTAAATATACACACAAATACGAAATTATTTACATTATAAAGAAGTTCCCTATAAAATAATTCTATAAAAAAAACTGCACGTATGCAAAGAAAATAAGTAAACCGAAAGAAAGAAGAGAAGAAAATCTAGAAAGAAATCATACGAAAAATCCACAGATGCAAAACGTTCAGTCAAATGAAGACTGTCGGTTGCTAATCGAACAAAAAGCACCTAATTGAGACGGCCAATAGATGTTAAATAATAACCCTACCGGAAGATCTCGACCGTTTCCTATTCGTACCTGTGCCCGTGATTGGTGGAGACGCCAGCTGCGAACTGCTTATATCCGGCGGTTGTGGTGTCTGTTGCGTTTGTTGTTGTTGTTGCGGTGGTTGAGATTGCTGTTGTTGCTGCGGACTGTTCGCGGCTACCACGGAACCCGGACTCGCAGCGCTTTCCGCCATTTTTCGCGATTACGTTTGTCCTCGATTTCAGTTTATTTCATCGGCATTTTTCTCACTCGAACGTTGCGATCCCTCGATCGCTATTTACGATCGTGGCAGACTCCGCGAGGAGACGATGAACGAATCGAATCGAACGCCTTCGATCTCACTGCGGAATTAATCAACGATAACACCGTTTACTCGTAAACGCTTAACGTTATCCTGAAAGGTTCCTGTGTTGTCTTAGATATAGTGTCTATCCTCTTCTTATTATTGCTAATGTTAATTCCCCCGTTCCTCCTTCGTGCCACGTTAACTCTACGATCAGACAATCATTGTCGACGGCCAGCACCTGCAAGCCACGCTTTTACAAGGAGAAAATTCCTCGATGATCGCCATGGGATCCTTCGTGACGTCAACGGGCATTGCAACGCTCCTGGATCGCGATCTGAATTCCATCTCTTCCAGCTGGCGAAATTAAAGATGCACTGTCGAGACTGCTAGCGTTCGTTCGATCGACCTGGTAAAAGTTCGACGATTCGTTTGGCAACGGGTGGGAGAGGAAACGTTGACTTCCTGCGTCCTATCGAATCGACAAATACTCCTGTGGCCGATCGACCAATCATTAGGCGACGTTGATGTGTTCGTTCGACTCACGGTCGTTATCAGTCTGCGATTACCAATCGACGATTGTCCTCGGGCTGTTCGGGATGATCTAGGAAAGGGATGTCTCCGTGGATGTTAGACGACGATGGAAACTTCGAAGAGGAAGAGAGATATCGAACGTTACCCTGACCTACTGGGTGAGTTAGAAAAACGAGGTGCTACTCGGATCTCTCGAAACAGAGAGGGAGCAAGGCGAACGAAATTCGGATACGCCCCCGAAGAAGAAGCGAAAAGTCGAGGTGTACGAGGGATAATTACGATTCGTACAGTTTCTCCGTCGATCAGTCGAGAGATAATAATCTGAGGCACTGTTTGTCGCGTCTCCGCGTAAAGAGCTCAACGATCAAACGATCGCTTCCGACAGAAAGGAAGAAGAAGGAAACGCGAAAAAGAACGAAGCGCGGGAGCGAGAGATGCGACGACGATTCCGATCGCGTATCAATATAATCAGTCGAGAAGGCATAAAATTTTAGGCACTCTTCACCGTGTATTCTCGACGCCCGATCAGCGCTCGACGACGAGGTCGAGAACGAGCGAGGGATACCCTGAACACCGATACAGTGGCGGTAAACGCTAAATAAAAAACAGAAGTAGAGAAAGTCACCGAGGGTGAAAGGCGACGAGGGGATTGTGCGAATGGAACACGTTTAAGTTAGAGCACTGATCGCGGATACTTAGGCACTCGTTTGTCTTGTAAATGTGCAGTCGATATATCGAACAACCCCCGTCGTCTTCGAGCAGTTACCCCTGGAGTATCCACACGAAAACGGGAATCACGAAACGTCCCACGACGCGGCACGCCAGTAAACACACATACACACGAAGGGAAGCAAAGGCGGAAAGTAGGGTGGGCGAGAAACGGGGTAGGAGCGGAGGGCGGCGAGTCGATAGGTCAGTGGGTCTCGTTCAAAGAACGACTCTCTTCGATTCACCCGCGCGTTCGTACGCGCAGCCACGTCGCCTGCCTAACGCCGCACACTTCCTCCAACGGTCGCTGTCCTCCGATGCGTCGATTACAGCTGAACGATTCGATGCGTGTTCCACAGGGGTGTAAGTAACGAAAAAAAAAAAAAGTGGCAACCGTGGTGGAGGAGGAAGAGTAGGGTAGCCGTGGCGTCGAGTCGATAGGTCAGTAGGTCTCGTTCAGAGAACTGTTCTTCGAGGGAGTCCGGTGCGCACTCTCGGTTTCAAAGTTCCTCTTCGTTAATCCCGACGCACTAATCGTCCGTGTTCACCGAATCGTGTCTGACCAACGCTGGAATCATCTCCTTGACGACGCGCAACGTCGAAGGGATCGGACAGAACGTTATCGCGGATACCCCGAGCACTCGAGCGCGATTAACCTCGGGGATGGCCAATTGGAGGTTGCGAACCCGCGGCAAACGTCAATAATCTTCCGAGCAACCGATCTGGAAGCGGAAACGCACTCACTGGGACCGAATTGCACGCGTTTATCCGCGACCTTCGCCACAACTAATTCGGTAGCCGCGGCCTTCGGTCGATATTCAGCCGTTGTTCAACACGGTGTCGTCCAGCGGAGCGATTCGAAACCCGCGTTCTTCACCAATCCCTGTTCCTTCGCATTTCGACAGTCCCTTCGCCGTTTCTTTCGGAACGCTTACATCCTACGGGAGCTAGCTGTCATCGACGAGATAACCAGGACGAGATTATTGGCCGCCTCCTGCGCGTGAAACGATGCCACGAGAGTCTTCGAGATCCGGGAGAGGTTCAGTCATCGACCAAACACCTTTTCCCGAGCTGGGGGCGATCGCGAACGGAACCACTGCGAGGATTCATCGCACGCTCCAACGGTATTCCCTCGACATAGATCATTGTTATCCGGGAACGCACAGGATCCGCCTAATTTCCACACTTTCGAGCGATCGCACGATCGCGCGGCTCAATCGAGCCTCAACGACCGAATTTCGGCCATGGATCACCCCCGTGTACGTGCACGAAAGCAAAAAAAAGAAACAAGTCGGGTCACCAATCGGGGATCCACTTGGCCTCGTGGGCTTTACGTCACTGTCGTCGTCTCCGTCATCCTGTGGCTCGTCGATGCGTGATCGTTCCGTGTGCTCGCTCCTTACGTTTACGCACCCCCGATACCGCGTAAATCGCGCACGACTCGGTTCACACGCGATCGTTTGGCGGATGTACCGCAACGTGAACAAGCTATCGTCCCGATCCCACGAAAAAAGGCTCGCGGTGATGTCGTTTCGGTGCCGAACGTCTCGTTTCGGCTGTGTACTTCACGGGGAAGCAGTGGCTCGAACTTGAAGCGACCGTCACCAGATGGCAGTCTTTGTTGAGCCACCCTTTGCTACCACCCCGCCCGGATCGCACCGATTCATACAGCTTACGTTCACCCTCGATTGCCGCACGTATCCGACATCCCCTGGTAAACGGTGACTACTGTTCCCGTTCCCGTTCCCGACTCTCTTCGATCCCTGTTTCACGACGATTTTTTCTGTGTACGCATCCCTCGCGGAAATTACACCGAAATATATCGGAATGTTCTACCCCCCGAGGGCAAGCGTAACAAGGTAGGGTTTCATTGGTTAAACGCGATTCAGGGGCGAAGCGCGCAGGCGCCGCCACTGCGCGCTCTGGGTACCATCCGTTCGATCCGTTGCCAGCCCGTACTCGTCGGCCAGATAGACTGTTCCGTCTCCCGTAGCGATAAGGTTGCAATCTTGAGTCGCTATTACTCTTGCCCTTTCAGCCGTACACGGACCCTGGGATCCTGGGTGGTTCCATTGAGCGTTCTCCAACGAGAGAACTCATCTTTCGCGGGTCGATAAGGGACGGAAATGTAACGGGTTGTGACGGTCGATGGGAAGGGCCGTGTCCCTTTAAGGTGAGGTTCGATCTTCCGTAATATATTTGTACCAACCCCGCGTGTGTTATTCGCTCCGCTACCATCCTGGATCGGTGTTTTGGTGTCGATATCGTAGGTCGCCTCTTTCATGATCTTCGGACCGCGCGACTTACGAATTTATTCGTTTGTTTATTTCTGAATGGTAGGGCACGTCTCTCGAAGCTGTTTATTAAATGTGTTTTGGACCATTCATATTTGAGCTGTTCATTGCACAAATCGATTAACTCCATAAGACAAAAGATTGAGAAATGCGAACAAAATGGCCTCCGTAATAAATTATTTATTATTCAATGGACAAGAAAATCTTGTCGGTTAATGGTGTTAATCTTTATAATTCAGGAAAGTTATTATAAATATAAAAAGTTGACTATACCAAGTGTTTTGACACTTAAACTTAAGATTTTTCAAAAAGTGGAGTTAATCGATTTGTACAGTGATCGACTCATTTATGAGCAATAAGCTGGTGCATTGAAAATAAATAGATGTTTGGAAGGTTTAGTAGGACAGAACCTACTAGTGCTTTATTTGGCGAATATTTATAATATTGGACAAATCACGATATTTTTCTACAAACAAAAAGTTCCATAATGTGCTATGTAACCCAAGTGACTCAAGTATACTCTTAATGTGAGTTGTTGTTTCCTGTTATATAAAGATAGCATCTAGCATAGTCAAAACCTCGCACAAATAAATAAGTGAGTTCCAAGTCAGTTGGCTCTAATTTCAAAGGAGGAAAGAAGCAAGTACAAACCAAGTAAAAAGTCTTTCTTAACGAACACTACTCTCATATCCCCAAAAGTGAGTTATCCCTGTCACCTAATACTCCATCTCCCTAGTAACCTACTAAAGCACAAGCATCTCAAATATCCCAAAATGATATCCCTTTCCTCCGAGCCCCAACGATGTCACTTCAAGTTCGACGCGTGTCTCCATTGTACCAAGCGGTGTTAATTGAAAGTTTATTTCTGCAAGTCTGGTAATTCGCTCCTCGACTCCCGTTGGAATTCCAGCATCGGCGACTTAAAGCATTCGTCGTACAAGGAAACGCGATTCGATCGTATCCGAAAGTAGTGTCTAGCGTAAAACGAGCAACATTTATCGGTCATAATTATTTGCACGTAACGCGCGCGTACCGAGGTTGTATTCCCTGTTTCGTCGTTTCTCCGTGGCATTGAATTTATGGCTACCGTTATACCCCTTTCGACTGGATCCCCGCCTCTTCGTCCGTGTCCGTTTGAGTTAAAGCGCCGCTTCGAGTCGAGTACAACCAAAGACTACACTCTCCTCGCTCTCTTCGGCTCGATACGAGTCGCTGCATTTTCAGAACGGTACTCCTAACTGTATCTTACATACGTACATACATACGCGTATATATGCCTGTTTCTGCTCACCTGTCGGCATCGCGCCTAAGCACCCGCGCATACCGATCAGAAAACAAGGGAAAACGACCGCGTCGATGACCCCGAGATGACGAGTCCATAGACTTGGATGGATTCCCATGGAACCGGAATTCCAGGGAACGGATAAATCCTCCAATTCACACGTTCGTCGCATTTTTTATTAAGTATTCTCCTAGTAGACGTCGGATTGTTTTTGTTTGGGGAAAAGTATATTGGCATACTTTGAAAATTTGGTAGCGTTGCGCTTTAGTCATTTATATGCTCCATACACAGAAGGCCTTCGTAGAATATTTATAAATATTCTATTGAAAATTTTGATGTTCTTGTCTTGGTCTGTTTTTAATTTATTGCCTTGGACATGTGTACTCTGTTCGAGAAGATTGATATCAAAGACTCCAAAATTATAGATTTTGTTACTTGATGCTCTGTAATTCTATTTATAGAATGTCAATATTTTTTACTCTACTCTCTGATAAAATTCTTAAAACTCGACGGAACATAAATGAATACATGTACTTCGAAGCGGATGCGCTCGCCAATTTCCTGGAGAAAATAAAGTCTAGACGTCTAAACCAGCCAGACCCCTTGAGAACCGACGGGATTCGTTATTAAAGCAGCGATTGCATCTAGAAAAATTTTCTAACGGATCCCATTTTCCAAGTTGCTGCTTACGCGATACGTTATACGTTCCAGTTAAAGTGAATCGAATTTTCCGAGGCCTGGTTTAGAAAAATTTCACACGGAACCCGTTCGATACCACGCTCTGAAAATCCTTGCAGTACCAAAATATCTCGTGATTGATTATACATTCTTGATTTATAGTTATCCTTTCTATAGTATTTCTTCTCTTCTGTTTTTCTTTTATATATATTACACTATCAAAGTTCAAATATAGACTCAAAGAAGAAACGATTATTATATTTGTATACTTTTACTATTTCAACGAAAACAGTTATTCATACTCGAGACATTTTTACACCTCGACAAATCATAAATAAACACAAGTACAGGGTTTGGAACTGAATTCTCAATACTTTCTTCAAGAAAAAAAACATTATCCTACATATGTAATTTGCTATGTTAGCATCTCTACACCTGCGAAGACCAATGAAATGTGGATTTTTATGCCTGCACAGGCATTTTGAATAAGTATTTTCATTAAGACTCAATATCAGTGACTACTCGATAATCATCCTCGTTATTGTCGTTGCGACTGTCGATTCGCGCCACGCGGTACAAAGAGGTTAGTTATCGTTGGACACACTCGGTCGGAGTGAGACGCGCCGAGTCAGCAATCGAGGAAGGTACCAAACGTTGCATGCAATTAAGGAACAATCGAGGTATACATTGAAACGACCGATCGGAGATCAAGGAAGACGGCTTGAACCGTTAATCGTTTTTAGAATCCCGCTTCAATGAGCCTGGTCGTGCGAAGCAAGGATCAAAGAGAGCACAGGACGAGCGAGGGAAAAAGAGGGAGGGCGGAGAGAGGCTCGACTTGGCTCGAGTCAAACAACGTGTAGCGGATCTTCTACGCAGGTATCGTAACTACGTACATGCGGGTCGCGTGTAGGGATACTCACGTAATGTAGGCCCGTTGCCGGATGTACCGTAAGACCTTGCTGTTACGTCACTAGAAGCCGCCGCGATTAGGAGAAAAAGGATACCGGTCGCGAAAGGACAGAAGAAAACAGGAACCGTGCCACCCTCGGAGACACAACGTCTCTGCGTTCCAGATTCGTGGAAATTCCTTAGCGGAAACTCGAAATCCCTGGTCTCTTTTGTCTTTTTCTTTTTCATATTTTACGTGTCTTTTTTGTTTATATATTACATGTGTATATTTTCGTTCATATATCACTTCTTTCATCCTTTTTTGTCCCTTCTCTGTCTCTGTTTTTATAGATTTTTTTGGTAACTTTTTACCCTTATATTTTTTGAGCGAATGAAAATCACAAAACTTTCTAGTGCTATTTTTAAATTCTCCAATATTAGTTTCTTGATAATACTGGTGATAAGTAAATAAAATTTGAGTTTCATTATTCAGGTGCTGAGTAGAGGACGAAATGAAATAGGACATGTCTTGAATTAGATTCAGGTTAAGAAAATTATAAATATTCTTTCCAAGCTCGGAATACCTCTTAGTCTGGTATCCTTAAATAAACTCAGCTGTGCCACATTTAACAATTTTGTGCTATTTTCAGAGATCTTGCCGTTAATCAACACGTACAATATTAATTTCTTAACCTATATATTTTCCCTAACGGATTTAAGGAAAGTTCTCTCATTTCCTTCGCTTGATCATACTACATCATTTAAACGTAAGTATTAGACCATAAAACACAAATATTTTGTCTTTTTCACATAACTAACAGATATTACATAACAATATTTTATATAAGCCATTTTATATATTATTGTTACTTTCTCACTGTTTTTGTGTTCTTTAAAAATATTTATCTTCTAATTAGGTTGTTTCGAATTATTATGCACATATTAAATATTCTGTTTTCGATTGTATATAATTCAATGACTATCCTTGCTTAACGTTTGAACGATGCTTTTGAATAAAATCGTAAGATGGATCTCCTTTAAAAAGCGCACATATATCTGTCCAAAGCAAACTATGTCAAGTCAAAAGAAATGACAGATACAATAATATTCGAATAATATAACATGTATATCTCCCCAAAATCCAATACTTAAAATTCTTCATTTCCGTGGAACAGACTTTCTTCAAATTCGTTTGACGTCAGAAAATTAAACAGAATCAATTAAACAAATTAAAAGAATCGAGGACTTGAGATGATTTCCTTTGAGGTACAGACACACTCCACCCTTATTACACCCACACTTCGTTACGTGCATAAGTACGAGTATCATCCTGAGCGTGAGTTGCAAATATTCTTTTTGAATGGGCGCAAAAAGTGCTCGTTTCGCAACGAAACGCAATCTTCGCGGAACCGCCGAA